ACTAACGAGTAATCCCTCCCCCACGCGAAAAAGGAGTATAGTCCGCTTTAAAGACATTCCCGAAGTTTTTGAAACCCTTAAAATCGATCATAACCTTGCCGCAAGTTTGCCATCATTCACTCCTGGTCGGGTAACAATCCCCGAAGCACACTCCACCCCCTTTTTGAGGTTTTCGGATTACAATAAAGGAAAACAAGAGGAAAAGGTGGGAAGAAAACACAAATCACGCCCCGTAGATTAACCCCTACAAGTGAGTTCGGAAGTAAGACAAAAAGGAACCTATTAATGGACCTATACCTATACAAACGAGACAACTACGCCCACTTTACTTCCGAAGACTGTGGACCCATTGACCCCATTGTGAAAATTTTAGTGGCAACCGAAAAGATCGAACATCAGAGACAGTAAACCAATTAAAGGACAGGTGTATGTCACTATCTGTGGACGCTATAAGGTATACTCAATTATTGTAAAAAAGCGACATTTTGACGAAATCAATTGGAATGACGTAATCACTGGGCTAACAAACTTGAGACATGCTATGACCTTAGACAATCAGAAACATTGCCGAATGGCCAATTCGGGTGACCTTCTACGAGCACTCCCTCAAAATGAAATGACGGAGCTTTTAGCAGGAATATTCCGCGGTGGCGATATAAATATCACACTATGCCACGGAAAAATCGAGGTACCACACTTACAATTACGCCCCAAGATAATATCAGAATTTCATGGCAGTCTGATTGGAGGACATAAAGGTATAACCAAGACTTATAGAAGAATACGTGAGAGGTATTATTGGCCTAGAATGCGAGACGAAGTCACAGAGTATATTCGCAAATGCAAGAGTTGCTTTGCGAATAAACTCGCCAGGGCTCAAACTCGTGAACCTATGCTAATAACAGACACCCCTGCGCAACCCTTTGACAAAGTGTCCCTAGATACCGTGGGAAATCTTCGAACTACTCCTAATGGCAATAGACACATACTAACAATGCAGGACAATTTCAGCAAATATTGCATTGCGGTCCCCATACCAGGCATAAAAACAACCACCATTGCCCATGCCATAGCAGCAAACCTCTTTTCTGTATATGGAGCGCCTCGATGCGTCCTTACAGATAGAGGAGGTAGCTTTATAAGCTCCCTAATGCGGAAACTTGAAAGCATCTTTGGGGTAAAACAAGTTACGACTTCCGGATACCGCCCTCAAACTAACGGAGCCTTGGAAAGAAGCTATATTGAATTGACGGATTATATTAAGCACTACGCTCAAGATTTTGACGATTGGGATCGTCTACTTCCTTTTGCCATGGTCAATTATAACACGCCGGTTCATGAAGCTACTAACCTAACCCCATTCGAGTTAGTTTTTGGACGAGTAGCCCGGATCCCTTTCTCCCTACCACTTAGACCAGAATTAGAAACCTATAGTTCATACCTAAAGGATCTCGTGGTCCGATTGCACGAACTTCAGAATCTGGCAGCCGACAAGCTTAAAGGAGCAAAACAACGCTCCAAAGAATTTTATGACCGAAAGTCAAGACCATCGAAGGTCAAGGTTGGCGACCAAGTCTATACCTATAAAGAGGTTAGGACGAACAAGTTTGACAATTAAGCTAATGGTCCGTACACTGTTGTAGGGTTAACCCAATATAATAATGTCATTTTAGAAGATGAGAATGGCGAAAGATTCGCCAAACACAAAGACAAGGTGATGGTTACCTATCTCTAACTATCACCTTCACAAAAATTTGCTATTAACATACATTACAATTTTTTATTAAAAAAGATGTACTTGGCACAATACTTAGTCATTTTGCACCTCTCCAACTCACTGATCGTGAAGGCGCAGATCAATCCAATCCCAATAGAACCAATTGACGGCCCCGGTTACCAGATCACCCCACTTGACATAAGTAGTGGGATATATTACAAATATTTGGGAGAAGTAAGAAGGTCAGTCAGTAATTGGAGGATCAGCATCTTCCTGGACATCGGCAAACAAGTGAGGCATTTCGAGGATTTGAATTACAAACTGAACGACGTGAAGCAGCAATGCTTTCCAAAAGAAGAATGGTGCGGAGTCCGAATCGAATCATTTCCCTGGGAGGACCGATGGGAGATAGCTGCAGACCTACAATGAGAACTTCAGCGGCAAATAGAAGAACTAGAAAGAACACGCCAGAATCTTCCTATATTGGTATCATCACAATTTCGAGCTCGGCGCAGTGTTCCCCTTTTTGGATTCCTTGCAAAGATTGCAGGACCCATAGCTGGTGTACTAAACTACGAAGATGGTGAACATTACGAAGCAGTTATGCAAGAATTGAATGAAGCACAAGCAAACTTATCACACCTTGTTGGAAAGCAGACACATGTGGTTAGGTCTCAATTAGAAAGTCTGCATAGTCAGGTGCAACATCACGACGAAGTCTTGCAGGAACTACACCAATCTTTTGACACCCGGAATAAGGAACTAAATGGACAATTTAAACATTGTGAATTCCAAGAATAATCCAAACTCCTGGACAAAACACTGGCTGCCATAAAATTGGGACTTGATCACAACATCCTAACGACGACAACAATGCTAGACGCAGTTCACGATGCTAGAAGAGGACATCTTCATCCTGGAATTTTATCTTCAGAACAATTGGGACCTATCCTCAACGACATTAGAAATAAAGCCACTGATGTTATTTTCCCCATACCTGGACCCAAGTTCAGCGTTGACGAATTGATTCAAGTAGCCACAACCAGTATTCTATGCGAGGACCACAAAATCAAAATTTTGATAGACATTCCTCTCCTGGAACAAGATAAATATACAGCATTCAAACTGCATCCACTGCCGACCGTTCAAGGTGATTTTGGAAATGGATCCGCCAGGGCATACGTGAATCCTACATACGATTACTTAATCGTTGACAAAGAGCAAAGAACCTATCTTCTGCTTAAAAATGAAGATTGGGAAAATTGTAGAACAACGACATCGTTTCATGCATGTCTGAAAAAATCACCCATTTACGACCTTCAGAATAGACCAATCTGTGAGGTATCGCTGATGACTAATCCCACAGACGAAGTATTAAGAACCTGTGATATCAGAATTACTGCAAGTCTAGAATCTTTTTGGAAACCCTTGCGGACCTTAGCAGCCTGGCTTTATTCCTTCGCCAAGCCGGAAGTGTTACTGATAATCTGCCACTCTGCCTATCCGATCAAAATAAATTTCACAGGTACTGGGATAATAAGGTAAGCCCCAGGATGTTCAGCAAAAACAAAAGATATAACCATCCCAGCAACAGCAACTCAGGTAGGCCAAACGGAAATCCTATACGAACCCGAGTTACACCTGGATATAAAACGGATTTCAAGTGTATTTTCTACCTATTCCCATTTAACGACTACGATGGAAGTTGAAGAGAGCAGCCGAACAAAATCAAGGATTCCGAGTTTCGAGACCAACTTCAAAACTCTAGAAGAATTGGAACAAAAATTAGAGGATTTTGCGATGCAGTGTAAATGGAAGTACCATCAGTCCATTCTTGTTTATGGATCATACGGAGGATTTATTCTTCTCAGCTTCGTCACTCTTCTTCTCCTGTGTAGAAACTCGATCACTAGAAAGATCAACATTGTCACCAACAAAAGTAAATTAAAGAAGGATGAAGTTGACCCCGTTTTGAAAGCAGGCTATAGGAAAAAGAACCATGGCGAATACACATATGTTTAAAGATCTAAGGAAATCCTTTCAACATCAGTGAATTTGGAACAAGGAGCAGAATTCCTGGAGATAACCTTAACAGCTAACGAACCTGTGTCACGCCGGCAAACATCAACTCCAGAAACACCTGAGAATCCTATATCAACAACCCGATCCTGACAATTAAATTTCGAAGACTTCAGAATCCTGGAAAAAACACAATCAACCACATCATCAACATCGACCAACAGCGTCAATTTATCAGCGAAGAACTACTTGAAAAGGGTAATTGTATTACCCATACAAAAACTTCAACCAGTCTAGTTGACAAACAAAAGAGCGCGCTATGTACACATTGTACCCATATATATATATATGACTAAAGTTTTTTTTTGGTTTAATTTTTCTTATTTGTTTAGTTTTGCCTTTTTTTAAATTTTTTTTATTATTATTATTTTTTGCATGAAAACCTACGATCGATTTCTTTAGTTAATTTCAGCACCGCCGGTACAGATCCTAGCACATTCTCATGTAAAAGAACAGAGAACTCTCGTAGAGGGAGGCTTACGTGGTCTAACCGCCGAACTACCACTTGAGCCGCCCTCAATATTTGTCAGACATCCTTTCCTACCACATTGTCAAAGGACTGGGTGCAAATGTGCTCTAATGAGACATCATCACCTGTCTAATGAGTTGTGGGAGTTTTTGGTCAGTGCCTGGTTGATGGAGAAATCGACCGTGGAAAACTATATCGGGTGAATTTCACCCGATATTATTATAATTATTGTTACCTTCGGCAGTTTCGATATATATATATATATATATATATCACTACAATTTTTCCTGAAACCAGAAATGATAAAATGCTTTTACTTACCGTGTGATGAATCATCAGTTGCTAAATGCTCCTCTCAGTTTTAGTCTCAAACGAAAAATTGTGATATTAAAAAAAAAGGGAAAGAAAGAAAGAAAAAATAATATCGAGAATATTATCCTATTCAAGAAAATGGAGTGTGCTGGTAGCTCTGTAATTTAAAAAAATAATAATAATAATAAAATAAAAAGGGGAAGGAATAAAATCAAGATTTGTCCAAAATTTATATATATATATATATTCAAAGTATAATTTTGTATAATTTTTTTTAGAAAAAAAAGGAGAATTTTATAATGAAGTTTTGAAAAATATTAATTTTGCAATCAAGTCTATTAAAATTGAAATTTTTGTCAAAACTTTATTTAAAGCATAATTTTGGTTTAATTTTTTTGGAGCGCGCGAGAAAGAGAAGAGATTGGACTCTTCACCGTAGACCGGGGTGGCAGCATTTGGGACAACCGGGTCCAAAAGAAATCCCTCCGAGCCAAGTGTCTCCCAAACTCGGTTAACCGGAACATTGATTTTCTAAAAAAAGGAGAAAAACTCTTTTCTCTCTCTATATTTTTTTTCCTCCTTTTCTCTCCCCACTCTTTCTGTTGTCAAAATTATTTTTTGTTTAGTTTTTACGATTCTATTTAAAAAAGGGGTAAACCACTCACCAGCTGCCATCTTGCTCTGGTTTTCGACTCCTGACCCCGGGTCTAGTAGTGGCACTGTAAAAAAGTGATTTTGAAGGCCTTGGAAACCGGCTGGTACCCGACCTCCGGTGCCACTGGTAATAAGGAACAGAGTGGGCTAAAAAGAAAAGAGAGAAATAAGGAAAAATTTAATTGCACATACACACATGTACTTGCATGAACACATATATACTTACATTACGGGGTGACACCTATCTACACTCCACTTGCCCTGGAGAACAGGCACCCTTCCCATCTCCTCCCGGACAACCGTGGGTGCTTATGAAATTAGGCTGCAACAAAATAAGAAAAGGGTTACATATACTATTCTCTCATATGTATGTAGTCCTACATATATATAAACATACCGTCGCCTAGTAACTCCGACAAAGATACTGTCCACTTTTCTCGCAACAGAGGTACTTCTGGTACCACTGTGTCCGGCTGAACCTCTTTCTCGGGCTACTGCTCCGAAGAAGAGGATTAGCCCTCCACAGTTCCTATTCATTATTACGAAGGGGAGCCGGCCTCCAGGTCCCAAACTCTACGAAGAATCTAAAAAAAATATATATATATATAAAAATATATTCATATATATATATATATCCTAAATTTTTTTTTAAACAAAACTTCTTTCAAACTGTTACTATTAAGTAAGTAGTTTTTCAAAATATCGACGAAAAATTGACAATTTCGAAAAATTGTAAATTTTTCCAATCTTAAGAATATTTGATGATTTGTCGAGATTTTGTAAGAACTTGACGTATTTCAAAATGTCGACGAAAAATCGACAATTTCGAAAAATTGTAAATTTTTCCATACTGATAAATATTCAATGTTTTATCAAGATTTTGTATGAACAAACGTTCTTCAAAATATCGACGAAAAATTGACAATTTCGAAAAATTGTAAATTTTTCCAAACTTAAAAATATTTGGTATTTTGTCGAGATTTTGTGAGAACTTGACGTTTTTCAAAATGTCGACGACAAATCAACAATTTCGTAAAATTGTAAATTTTTCCAAACTTAAGAATATTTGGCATTTTGTCGAGATTTTGTAAGAACTAACGTTTTTCAAAATGTTGACGAAAAATCGACAATTTTGAAAAATTGTAAATTTTTCCAAACTTCAGAACATTTGATGTTTTGTCTGCATATAAAATTCACCAAACACCCCTAAATTTTCATTTTAGAGCCAGAAAACCATTTTTACGTATGTTTATGCATAAAAACCTTTGTAACTTTCTTATTTCTGCACGGATTTCAAAATTTTTTTTTCATTTTAAAGCTGAGAAACAGAGCTTATTAGCCCATATTCGATATTTTTGTTTAAATTAATATTTATAAGAGAAAAATTACAAAAATGTTCAGAACTTGTCATTTATATCGCAATTTTTCAACTTTAACTGATGTTTTCATCATTAATTTTAATTTAAACATTTTTTCTCTTCTAGCGCTATTAAAGCGTATTAAATTCTGCATCTAATGAGCCCTATTTGAATAGATTTTGTAAAAAATTAACTGAATTATTGTAGTTTTTCTCTTTACAGATCTAGTAGCTGATTCAAGAACATTACAGTTTATTCTTTTCTTTTTCATTCTTAATTGTTTATGTATAGTATTTGTCAAGTTCTGACAGTTTTTATTCCATGTTGGTCATGCTAACAATGAGTTTTTTTTAACAAATATTAATTTTATAAATGAACTATAAACAAACACAATTGAATAAAAATACTCCAAGTTGTAAAGGTTTTACTAATTTTTGTCATTTTTTGCATTTTTAGAAATAAAATAAATTCTACTTCTTGTATCAGATCTTGAACAAGAAAATATATTTAATATTTGTATACAAGAAAAAGTACATGTTCTTGTACATATTCTTATCTAAAAAAAGCCGATTTGGAATAAGAAATATATAATTTTTTTAAAAGAAATAAAAGTGAAATGTGACAGATTTACCGACAATTTATTATGTGAGTAGTACTTATATGGCTTTTTTAGACTTCGAAACATTTATTTTATTCATTTATAATGTAAACTCGAATAAACAAACGTCAATTTAAATATTCAAAAGAAAAGAATTCACAGTAAGAAAAAATAATTCACCGTAACGTTCCAATTCGGTTTTTTCGACAAACCGAATTCAGTTTAAGTTACCACCAATTCTTTTCGTTTACTCCCAATTCTTTTTTTTACTGGGTAAACATGTACAAGAAGAGAAATAATTTTTAAAATAATTTTTTCTCAAATCTGGTGCAAGAAGAAGTACATTAACCTGCACAAGCATATGTATAAGAACACATACATTTTCTTGTATACAAATATTAAATAAATCTTTTTGTACAAGATCTTGTACAAGTTCTGGTACCAGAACTTGATCTAAATTCTGGGGCACGAAAATGTATATTTTCTTGTACAAGATTTTGAACAGGGATATTCAATAGGGTATAAAATAACAATTTAGAAATATTTCTATTAACCATTTAACGCCCAAATGAGCTGATTCTCGACTTGAATTTCAACCTTGTACCATTAACAGAAAATTTTTTTTTAAATATCAGACAAATCATTTCCGACTGATTTTTTATCGCTCTTTCAAATTGCGTGGTCAAAATTTTCAAAAAATAATATTTAATCCCTCTTTTTTTCAAAAAATAATATTTAATCCCTCTTTTTTTCAAAAACACCCAAAAAATACAAGTTTTTGTCATGTAAAATTTTTTTCAATTGCAATTCTTTCCAGTATATCATTTTTTGTTTATTCTTTAAGATATAAAAAACGTGCCCCCGATAGCTGTACTTTAAAAATATGCATTTCAACTTTTTATTTTTCTTTATTTTTAACTCAAAATGGCGCCTGAATGTCAAAAAATTTTCAAAAATAATGTTTGTAAATTTCTTTTTTTCAAATTCGCTTAAATTCGCCTGAAATTTGTTACTCGGAGGTTTTCAGGGTCGCTGATTACGAATCTGATGTCAGTTTTAAAAAATTCAAAATGGCAGATCCAATATGGCGGACGATTTTTGCAAAAAATTATCGGATTCTCTTAAAACTCGTCATTTGAGGGTTTTCGGGGTCGCTGATTACGAATATGCACTTGCTTTTCAAAAATTCAAAATGGCGGATCCAATATGGCGGACAAATACTTCAAAAAATTATCGGATTCTCTTGAAACTCGTTAATCGGGGGTTTTCGGGGTCGCTAATTACGAATCCGATAACAGTTTTCAAAAATTCAAAATGGCGGACGATTTTTGCAAAAAATTATTGGATTCTTTTCAAACTCGTCACTTGGGGGTTTTCGGGGTCGCTGATTACGAATATGCACTTGGTTTTCAAAAATTCAAAATGGCGGATCCAATATGGCGGACGACTTTTGCAAAAAATTATCGGATTCTTTTGAAACTCGTTACTCGGGGGTTTTCGGGGTCGCTGATTACGAATCTGATGTCAGTTTTCAAAAATTCAAAATGGTGATTTTAGTTTAGTATATTTTATACTTTTGTAATAAACAATATGGGCATTTAGGGCAGTACTGTACATTTCGATAATTAGGTCGAAGCGAACAAGTTTGTCGCACATATTTCTATTGCTTGTTAAAAGATAAATTCATAGTTTTTGACATAATAATTTGTTATTACTTTTACACCATGCCACGCAAAAGAAGATCAGATTCTATGCCTAATTAATCAATTCCTTCTAAAACTTTTCGCAATAAGTCCAATGATTCGATTATTCTAAACACTCGTCGCACAAGGTCAATGGTTAAAATTCAAGTCGAGAATCAGCTCATTTGGGCGTTAAGGGGTTAAAACAATATGAGAAATCTCGAATTCCAATACTTCAGTTAATTTTTTACAAAATCTATTCAAATAGGGCTTATTGGATGCAGAATTTAATACGCTTTAATAGCGCAAGAAGAGAAAGAATGTTTAAATTAAAATTAATGCTGAAAATATCAGTTAAAGTTGAAAAATTGCGAGAAAAATGACAACTTCTGAACATTTTTGTAATTTTTCTGTTATAAATATTAATTTAAACAAAAATATCGAATATGGGCTAAAAAGCTCTGTTTCTCAGCTTCAAAATGAAAATAAAAATTTGAAATCCGTGCAGAAATAAGAAAGTTACAAAGGTTTTTATGCATAAACATACGTAAAAATGGTTTTCTGTCTCTAAAATGAAAATTTAGGGGTGTTTGGAGTATTTAATATACAACATTCTTCTTAGTTTTTTGTGATCTACAACCTCCAATAGGTTTCATGAGAAGTACATTTTTAAAAAAAATTTTTGTAGCACCGTGTAATTGATTCCAGACAGTTAGTGGTCAGTCCTGTGTCATTAGCAGCAGATGAGGCAAGGCTGCCGGAATCTGTCTGAGACATAATAGGTGATCGAGGACGACAACACTTAGAAAATGCTTCACTTTCTAAAACACCCACGCGATTAGCACAACTTCGATGGTATGGAGAAGCACAGGATTTACAAAAAATTGCATCATTAACTGTTTTATTACAAAATAAACAGACTTTAGCACTAAGATCATTTCCTTTAGATCCCATTCTTAAAAGAAACAAAAGCTAGGTTAGAATTATAAAAGTTTTTTGAAAAAGTAAAATATCACTAAAAATTATAACTGAAAGAATCAACTATGATAAATAATGGTAAAATGCCACTAAGAGTTTATAATAATACACGATCCGTATAGCACAAAATCAGAATAACACGAAAAGTTCATATAATACGAGAGCGTAACTGAAACACTTTGAAATAACAGGCAGCCAGGGCCGGAATTTCGTAAAATTGTAAATTTTTCGAAACTGAAGAATATTTGATGTTTTGTCGAGATTTTGTAAGAACTGACGTTTTTCAAAATGTCGACGAAAAATCGACAATTTCAAAAAAATTGAAAATTTTTCCACATTTTATGAACACTCAATGTTTTGCTGTTCAAGTTTTTCTTTTTTCTTCCTTGTTAAAATAAAATTTTGAACCACTTACCCTTTCTCTCCTCTTAATCCTGCCAGAACTGCCTTTAATCGAATGGCGGCTTCGATTTTTTTAAAATTTGTTTCCTCTTCTTCCAAGAGCTCTCGCTCCTCTTTTTCCTGAATATCTGCCGGCCTCATTCTTTTCACTTTCTGGAAAACAAATAACAGTCCCTGTCGTTGATAGGAAGTTCGTGAAACCACCCTTAGAAGGAACTCACTTAGCACTTCACTATCACTCTCACACATTTTCTTTCTTTAATTTTACACACCCGAATCGCGCGTTTCAAAAAAAAGGTGTGGACTAATTAAGAGCTGCTGGCAAACTGGCAAGGAGCTGCACGTGTATTGTAGGGAAATTTACGTCTCGTAAATTTTAACCTCCTTACGGTTTGTCCCGAGTTAACTCGGGGTAAATTGACTGTGCCAAAACGGTTAACCCCGAGTATACTCGGG